CTCACTTGGTAGACCAGGCTGGCCTCGAACTCACAAAGATCCGCCTGCCTCTGCCTCCCGAGTGCTGGGATTAAAGGCGTGCGCCACCACCGCCCGGCTCGGATTTTTTTTTTATTAAACAAATAAGCCAGGCAGTGTACACACACACACACACACACACACACACTTGAATTTTTATTATGGTTGGTCACTCATTATTTCAAAATAAAAATAAAATATTATGAAAATGCATATATCTATATATATATATATTTGTTTTTGTTTTTGTTTTTTGAGACAGGGTTTCTCTGTGTAGCTTTGCGCCTTTCCTGGAACTCACTTGGTTGCCCAGGCTGGCCTCGAACTCACAGAGATCCGCCTGGCTCTGCCTCCTGAGTGCTGGGATTAAAGGCGTGCGCCACCACCGCCCAGTGAAAATGCATATTTTTTAAAAGACTTATTTTCCAGATAAAACGATGCATTGCTTTCAGGGTGTACATTTTTACCTATTTCATTTATTGAAAATTTATAGAAAAATCTATTTTTACTTTTAAAAACACATTCAATTATACATTACAGCTTCAAAATCATAAAAATATGCGTATTTCTTATTAGGTTCAAATTCCTGAATTTTAATCGTTTTTATAACCTTTGAAACTGGTGAATTTAAGGATGTCCTAGAGCTGCCGGCTCATCAGAAGTTTAGCACTTTGTGCTTATCAGTGTGTGATTAATATCTACTAGATCTGAACATTTCAATACTTTTATATTTATTTTCTTCTGATTCTTTGAAAATTGATGTTGCATGCCTGGTGTATAAGGTATATTAGCCTTTATATTAAGTACATTGAAGTAGAACAGCCTTTTGAATAGCTACTAACCACTGTATATTAGGATTTAATGTGACAGCAACTATAAATAGTTGATAGTGATCTCTACTGTGAAAATTACACATTGATTATCCCCAAACATACCTTTTTGTCTTCTTTATTGTAGGAATCATGGGTAAAGAAGGAAGACAAGCTGCAAGAAACAGTGACTATGCAGTGGCTAGATTTAAATTCCTCTCCAAGCTACTTTTTGTTCATGGCCATTTTTATTATATTAGAATAGCTACCCTTGTACAGTATTTTTTTTATAAGGTAAGTTTCAACGGACTATAAGAATCAGTTTTTGATATTTTAACTTGAAATTCCAATTTAAGAATGTTACAAGCATTCAAATTATTCTTAAAATAGTTTCTTTAAACAAAAATAACTACTTTGTAATAACTTTATTGCTGGCTGACTGCAGATGAGTGCTTGTATGTATGTGCCACTAGGACACGGGGTAGGATTGTTTGAAGGGCTATTAGAGCATTTTTGGGTCAGTGAGAGGACTTGATGGGTGAAGGTACTTGGCAATAAGCCTGACACCCTGAGTTCAAACCCAGGACCCCCATGGTACACAGAGAGAACTCCTAAAAGTTGACCTCTGATTTTTACATATGTGCCATGATGTGGATTTACTCACTCTCTCTGTCTCCCTGTCTCTCCCCCCACCACCATGTCTTTATCTCTCCCCGACCATGTCTTTCTCTCTCTCACATACACACAATAAATATGAAAAACGAGAGAGCGCGCGCGCACGAGAGAGAGAGAGAGAGAGAGAGAGAGAGAGAGAGAGAGAGAGAGAGAGAGAGAGCGCGCACGCACGCGCGCGCGCACACACACACACACACACACTTTTTGGGAAAGTCCTCGAACCTTATGGTATGTAAATTTATCAAGCATCAAAACTTACACTTAAGATGTATTATTCTATGCAAATTCAACTGCAAAAACATGTAATTTGCTTAATACTATTTTATGTTGGTCTAGTAAATTTGATTGAACCTCTGATTTCATTGATTCATAGCAGAGCTCCTTAATCTTTTTAGTTTCAAGGGTACCCATGTGGTAAACTAGTAAATGCATAAGCCTCTTAGTTACAGAGGGTTTATTTGTATAATAAAACAGATTATAATGTTGAAATAATGTTCTCTCATTGGACCCATTCAAGGAAGGTGAGATTCAGTGGAACCCATATTGATCCCCTGCTAATAAACATTTACTATACCAGAATAGCTTATGTTGTATGTGTTCCTATAATTAATAGCTGCACACTGATAGAACACAAATATGCGTATTACCATGAAATGATGCGACAGTTGTCTTCTAGTCTACTGTTCTAGCTTTCACTTGTGATATGAGTAGTTTACATGTTTCTGGAACGTGATCGGGATGGGGCTCTTCTGCCTTGTTTTAGCTTCACTTGTGATATGAAAAATATTGAGATAGAGAGATGTTATGATAGTCTACTTACATGCTTTAAATAGTTTGGCAATATCAAATTATATAGCCCTAAAATATAAGCAACTGTTACATATTATAATATCTATGACACGAATTAAGAGTTAAAAACTTATCTTTTACTGCTTGGAACTGATGGTAACTAAGAATTTTCATTATAATGTCTATATGATTCCTTAAGCAGCTTCTAGACATGATTTAGTAAAATGAGAATTCTATTTTCTCATTTTCCATAGCCAGGTCTTTAGAGAAAATGTGTCTTACATTATCAGCTGAGATTCTGTTTCTAGATACTTTAGGAACCACTTTAATAAGTATTTGAATTACTTCCTGTTTTGTCCTGTTTTTCAGAATGTGTGCTTTATCACACCCCAGTTTTTATATCAGTTCTACTGTTTGTTTTCTCAACAAGTAAGTAAAATAGAAGTTTGCGTTTGTTCTTTTAGAAAAGTAATGTGTTCAAATCTTGATAGGTATTTAAACAGACTTCATTTTTTTTATTTGTTATGTAAGTAACTAGGTATATTTACTTAATCCACTTGATATTCATAATATTTATTCTGACTTTTAATTTGAGATTACTGTTAATACCAAAATATATGTTAATTGTGAACCCCTTTTTTTTCAAACTTACATTAACTCTCTTCATTTATTTGTGTGTTTGTTTGTTTATTTATGCAAGGTTTTATGTAGCCCAAGCTAGCCTCTTACTATATAATCAGGGATGATTTTGAACTGGTGGTTCTCTTGCCTCTACCAAGTGGTAGGATTGCAGATGAGAGTTACCACAACCACCGCTCCAGTTAATGTATTGCTAGGTGTTGAACTCCAGTCAAGGACTCTTAATAACTAACTCACCTTCCCAACCTTGATAGCTGTACTTTTTTTTTTAACCTATTTGTGGCATTTCTGTAGAATCGACAGCAAGTCAGACCAAGGAATTAATAGAGGTTCACTTAATTATTTTGATTCCTGATCCTGAGGTTTTAAAAATTTGGTGAGAACCTTAATGATTTGGTTCAGGGATTATATAAATCTCACCTCAAAAACTGGCTTTACATTATTAACCTTTTCACATAGCTCACTATGAATCTTAAAATGATTGCTACTTTTTTTCTAATCTTCATTTATGATTTAAATTTGTGAATTCCTCTTCATAATTGCTTTTTTCCCCTATTTACAGTACAGAGCTTTAACTTTTAAATGGCTTCATAGACATCAATTACTAGCAATTGCTTACCTAAATTAAATACTTTAATCTAAGATCATATGACAATAGGAACCTGATATATTTTGACTGGGTTTTCAAAGAGACGGTATTAGTAAGTGTCTTCATTAGAGTTTATATTACTGTGATAAAACATCATAACCAAAAGCAACTTGGAAAGGAAAGCATTTATTTCATTTTACAGCTCTCAGGCCACACTCCATCCCTGAGGGAAGTCAGGGAGGAACTCAAGGTAGGAACCTGTGGCAAGAAGTGAAACATAGGCCATGGAGGAACACTGCTTACTGGCTTGTTCATTCATAGTTGCTCAGCCTGCTTTGTTACACAACCCAATTACCACCTGCCCAGGGATGGCACCACCAACAATGGCCTGGGCCCTCCCACATCAATCATTAAGGCAATACTGCCTACAGTATTATGGAGGCATTTTTTCATTTAAGATTCTCTTCTCCCATATATGTCTGGTTTGTGTCAGGTTGACAGAACCAATCAGCACAAAGACAGTAGGAACAGTGTGTGGACCACAGGTAAACAGCTAAAGCATTAGTACCAACAGTAACCACTAGAACACTTGAAAGAAAGATGGTATCATCGAGGACTTAAGCCACTTTAAAAAAAAAAATAGCTTCCATGGAAAAAAAGAAATTTCAGTACTATAAGCAGTACAGAAGAAGGTAGGTAGGAAAATGATGTGTAAGTCTGTCAGAGAACTACCCAGGATCCTAGGATGCATATAGGAAGACTGTAAAACTGTCTTGTCACACTGACCAAACTGGAGACTCATGAGATGGAGATCCAAATTACTTCTATGAAAAAAACAATCTAACAGCAAAATATTTCAATCCCACAGACAACATAGATCTAGGAACAGTATAGGTTCTGTACTAAAACAAATCACATTGATTAATTGAAAGTCTTTAAAATGGATTTTTGTATGAATTTTAAAAATTAAGGTACTTATTTTTAATATTTCTCCAGTATTATATGTGCAATAGAAATATATAATTTATAATCTCAAAATTCCTCCAATTTATTTCTCTTTTTAGACACTCTATGACAGCGTTTACCTGACTTTATACAACATCTGTTTTACTTCCCTACCTGTTCTCATGTACAGTCTTTTGGAACAACATATAGACCCTCATGTATTACAGAGCAAGCCTACCCTCTATCGGTATGTATTTTCCAGTATTGGATGTGTATAGGTAGTGTCTTGGTATAAATACTCAAGCATGATTGCTGCATGGCATGAAGTTTTTCAATATTAAAGAGAAATTTCCATAAATTCCTTGTGTTTTTAGGAGTAAACACTTCCACCCTTGAACTGTTGTACACAGTGTTCTATTCCTTGTACACAAGAGAAGTTACTCATTTGTTAATAGTATCTAGAGTTTCTAAAAAATTATTTATGTTCTACTATTATATAACTTTTTAGTGTTAATCAAAGTTGAGTTCAAGTGAAGGAGAATAGTTCCTGCTTTTTCCAGAACTGCCCCAAACCAAGTAATCCTAGAGCTGCTGAGCCTGCCGGGTCCAATGGTGATCCTCATAAACTGTCGTAGAGACTGTAGAGGTGCCAGTTGCAGACACAGACAGTTATGGTGTGGAGTCACTTGCTCTTGTTTACCAGAATTCCTAGGACAGTCTGTTATTCGCATAATGGTTAAGTTCTAAAATGAAGATAATGAGGAGCCTGGGTGCTGACTCCAGCTTGTATCTCACTAAAAAGATTGTTATGGAAGAGTGACTGAATGAGAACAGAATATAATACACATAATTCGTTTTTTTTTTCACAATTATACTGAAGTACTATGTCTGCATTGTGTTTTATTATCAAATGAAATGGTACTAGAATTTATTATATGAACTCTCCGCTGTTACAAAGATACATGCTATTATTAGAAATGGTTGTTTGCAAATAGGTTTATTTTTATGCTGATATTTTTTAGCCATCTTAAAATACTATTAGTTCAAATTAATTGTCTAGAAGATTTAAAAAAAATGAATCCTAATGTGTTCCATTCCTCTTTTTAAAAATAATTTTAGGGATATTAGTAAAAACAGCCTCTTGAGCATTAAAGCATTTCTTTACTGGACCATCCTGGGTTTCAGCCATGCCTTCATTTTCTTTTTTGGATCCTATTTTCTTGTGGGGAAAGATACATCTCTGCTCGGAAATGGCCAGGTAAAAAAAAAAAAAGAAGAAGAAGAATGCTTAAAAATGTTAACAATGTTGAAAAAAATGTTAGCTTAAATCACTTCTCCTTAGCCTGATCCTCCAAATGCCTCTGCCCCATCTGTTGCTGAAGAGGATGTCAGTGTGGAGAGAGGTGGCCTTTATGAGCTTAATCCTCACCCTCAAAAAGAAGTCACCAAATGTGACTTATACAAGCAAAATGCTGTCTGCCTTCTTTCTAGAGAGATGTAACATAGCATATCTTAAGGAAAACCAGATCCTCAGGATTAGGACATGTGGTTTCTACCAGAGGTCAAAGTTGCCTGCTTATATCAAAGAACTTGCCACCATTTCCCTGAAGAGAATGGCACTCCAGGATTTCAGTTGTTACCCATTGATTTTTGGAATTTCTAAGTCTGCATATTTCAAAGATTGAGAAATAAGCATTGGTTTAATATGTTTTCTACATTTTATATCTTCTTGTAGACTGTTCCATTATTGATAATCACATGTATTTACCATTTACTTTTTATGTACCAGAACCTCTATCCTTTTTGCATATTTTATAATTTACTAACATCTGTGAGACTTACCCTCATTTTACAAATGATGTGAGAGTCAGGGAGCTTGAGTAATTTGTCAGGTAATCACTGTTAGAAATGTGTTTGTTAAAAAAACAAATCGGCCTTTTGCATAAAAGTCTAAATGTCAAGATTATAACTGCTTTCTTTGTAAACTAAATTCATATAAGCTGCATACTTATGGTCTTAATATGGAAATAAGATCTTGATAGTCTTTTGGGATTCTGTGTGTGATGGACTTTGTAAGTTTGGACTATAAAGATCAAAATACTTCTGATTGACATTACTTGCAGTCACATTCCATTTTTTATGTGGAATCATTTGAAGAATAGTTCTGTTAGCCATTATTTTTTTTTTATTTCAGATACTGGTTTTAAGTTTAAATATAATTTTTTTTCTTACTAAGATTTTCTATCCAGATACATTGTAGCAAATGTTCTACTATAACTTCTGGTTGGAAATGTTTCAGAAAAATAACTGGTGAAGAAAGGTCTATTATCGGTGGCGCACCCCTTTAATCCCAGCACTCGGGAGGCAGAGCCAGGCGGATCTCTGTGAGTTCGAGGCCAGCCTGGGCTACCAAGTGAGCTCCAGGAAAGGCGCAAAGCTACACAGAGAAACCCTGTCTCGAAAAACCAAAAAAAAAAAAAAAGAAAGGTCTATTATCATTTTTACTAGGGACAGGAATAAAGCAATCACAACTATATCATCCTAATTAAAAATGGTCTGTGATTCACAGTTCTGAATTCTGAACCATCTTTTGTTTTCTGGTATTATCCAAAGGGTAATTATCAAGAATAGTTACCATAATAAAGCTTCATTATTTGTCCTCATACTTGTAACTTTACTAATATTGTCAGTGTTCATGTGTATATCTGTCTTAAATAGTTCAGTTAATTTTTTGTAAAGAGTAAAATTACTTTTACCTTACAGTGAGATTAACATGTTGATATATATAAAACGGTCTGTTCCTTGTATTTAGATGTTTGGAAACTGGACATTTGGTACTTTGGTCTTCACAGTCATGGTTATTACAGTCACGGTAAAGGTATGATACCATGTTAGAAACCTGTACATACTTTGTATATCTCATTTACTTTATCTTTTAGCTATGCATGTAGTTTCCCTTTTGCTTTCACTAAATTGTAATCATTCATTTAAATTTTGCTATAAATTCTCCTTCCTGTTCAAAAGTTTCATATGGTTTTGGTTGCAAATCACTGAAATTTTGCTTCACTGTGTATCACCTAAATAACACAGTTTATTTTGTACCATAGAGTTGAGGTAATGTCATCACATGGTATTTCAATTCTGCTTTCCCTCAGAAGGAAAATATTACACTATTTCCTATGAAGACTCTTTTATTAATATTATGTCTTCTAAGGAACTATACCATGGGGATAGGAACTTCTAGACATCTGTAATAGATACGTGTAATTTTTAAGTTTTATCTAGAAGTTGAAGTAAACTATTATTTTATATTGCTAAGTCACTTTTTTTTTTTTAGATGGCTTTGGAAACTCATTTCTGGACTTGGATCAACCATCTTGTTACCTGGGGATCTATTATATTTTATTTCATATTTTCTTTGTTTTATGGTGGAATTCTCTGGTGAGTGATTGCAGTATGTCTTAATTATGTTGATTTAATATAATGAACAGTTATTGTGATGGGTTCCTTGATGACCAAATTCTGCTCCTAATAGTTTTTAGACACTGTGCTGGTAAGTTCATTCCTTTGAGTTGATCTTCACAAAATTCCTACTATCCTCATTTTTCTGCATGAAAACTGAACCTCACGGACACAAAGTTGAAAATAGAAGAAAGCTAGGCTGTAAACCATTTGTCTGACTTTATAAGTAGTGTTCTTTATACTAACCGTATTACTTTTAAATTATTTTCTCATGTATGTAATAAGTCATACAAACACTTTGGCTTTTTATTGCTAACATCTCTCTCAAAGGTTAATAGTATGCTTCATCTTCATTAAATGTAGATCATTAGCAGGTTTTTTGAAAGATTGATAATTATGCTTCCCTAAGATGTTTTTGGTAAGTGTTGGTAAACTGATACCTTTCTTTTGGAAAGCATATATGTTACAGTGTCTATTGTACCTTAGGTTCACTTAGCAGGAAAAACTTTCTCAAGGTAAGCACAAAGAACTTGAATTGACTGATCATTGCCTTCCATAAAAGGATCACAAAAGAGAACACTTATGCATATTGTTTGTCTGTAAACCTTTCCCTATTCGTTTCCATATTCCCCTATAGTCTCTTGAAGTTGATATATACAAAACCCCAAAAAGAATGCCTTCATAATACCATGATCTAGCATCTCTGAGTGTGTTTATAAAGAAAAGCCTAGCTTTCAGTCTGGTGGTGGTTGTTGTAGTGACACCCCTGGGGATAGATAGCAGAGGACAGCTTTATAGCACCAGTTCTCGCCTTTGACCTTGACTGGGTTCCAGGAAGAAAGCTCAAGTTGTCAGACCTAGGCAGCACGTGCTTTACCTGGCTGAGCCATCTCATTGTCCCAGTTTTGTTTTGTTTTGTTTTTGTAATCAGTAGGAAATATATCCTAACATACTATTTCTTGTTCTCTTATTTATGTAGTCTACATTAGTCTATTCTTCATTATTCTTTTAATAACTTTCCAGGAAACTGGGGTTAATCTAGTTATAGCTTGTCATTTCCCTATTAGTAAAAAGGTATAATTGTTAAAAAATTATTAAACTGGATTTTACATTTTAGCACACTCTATCTCATTAGTTTATTTAAGTTCTTCCAGTTTCAATTTAGAAAAATTGCCTGGCACTCTTAACATTGTTATTTTTCAGTTATTTGAGTTTTGGTAAAGTCTTGATTTAACTCTTTTTTTTCACTTGTTTGTTTCTAAAGCAGCATCTCCCTGTGTAGGCCTCAAACAAACCCAAGGTTCTGCCTACTCTTCCAAGTGTTTAGATTACTGGCATGTGTTACTTTGCCCAGCCAGTGTCACTTTTAATGAGACTATCTTTCTTTGCAGGCCATTTTTGAGCTCCCAGAATATGTACTTTGTATTTATTCAGCTCCTGTCAAGTGGGCCGGTGTGGTTTGCCATGCTCCTCATGGTTGTTACTTGTCTAGTTCTTGATGTTGTGAAGAAAGTGATTGATCGACAGCTTCATCCAACAAGTACAGAAAAGGCACAGGTAGGCACTTTTCATACTCAGTAACTCTTTAGTCAGAACAGTTAGTGATGAGTAACTACAATTACAAAGTTCTTTTGTCAGAAAATTCCTATTTCTATATCAAAGAATTTTCCAGTATTCTTAAGTGTGATACTTTTAATTGTTTTCTTTCTTTTTCTATTAATTTTTATAGCTGCTAGTATTATAATTTAACTATTTAAATATCAAGCTATCAAGTTATGTCCAGATGATAATAATACTAATCTGCTTCAAATGCCACAGTATTGCATCAGCTAGTTATGACTAAGGTATATAGCCATGTCCTTAAAGTACAGCAGACATTAACAGTAGGCTAATGATTAGAGATATGATATTTGGGGACCGATACTGTTTCAGCTACCAGCTATGCCACTAAGTAGCACTAGGGCTTTGAGCCTCAATTTCTTCATTGGTGAAATTATGATAGAAATATCTTTCATTCCCTTTGCAGTGAGGATTAAAGGAAAGAATGTTTAAGCACAGTAAATGATAAAGAAATGGTTCCATTGGTCACATCAGCATTTATTTATCATTTAGTTAGTTTGGCAATATAATTCTAGTGAATGTTTATTTGGTGCAGTATAAAATGGTAAGGATGGGAATATTACTCTGACATACTGATTTCTAAATGGTGCTGAAAAAGTTACATGATTTCTGTGGCCACCTGTGTGTATATGTGCATTAGCAGGAACAGAATATTATTGAAATCTGTATCAGAAAGATTTATCTTATTTTTAATCTGCAGAAGTAAATATATATAGTCAAAGTATTACTTTTAATATGTTTATTATATTTGTTTAGGCTTTTCAAATGAAGATTTTGTTTTTAATTTTCAATTATATATATTTGTATGGAGGGTATGTGCACATGAGTTCAGGTGCCGTTGGAGGCCGGAAGAGAGTATTAGCTCTCTTGGAGATAGAGTTACAGGTGGTTGTGAACCACCCACAGTGGGTCCTGGGAACTGAACTCAGTTTCTCAGCATGAGAAGTATGTATGCTCAGCCATTGCTCCAGCCTCACTTTTCTAGACTTTTATGGAGGATAGTTTGTCTCACACTGTGGTCTATATTATATTTCCCCAAAAAGTTATGAGTAACAAGATATTAACATTTATTTGCATTTGTCCTTAATTGTTCTGTGGTTTGAAAGCTTCAAGTGTATTTTCATAGGGATTGCTTACTGATCCAAAAGGTACGATATTACTTATGTTAAAAATATACTCCATATATTTGTTTTAACATAAGTTAAAATTTATTTTAAAAAAGGAATTTACACTAAATCATTTTATCACATATGAAGTCAGAATAATTTTCCCTTTTTTCTATGTAAATTAATATCCAATAATTAATGAGACATCTGGTTGTTCTCATTTGGGAAAAGGAAGGAAAGTTTTACTTCCATTCATGGGTCTTCCAGCCTGTTGCTGTCATGTTGTGTTTCTTCTTCTCTTTTCTCTGAGACAGTATGTGTCATTTATATTACAAATGTGATATTATTCCTTTGTTGTAAGCAGTAATCATTTCAGCTTCTACTGTCACTTCTGGTTTCAAGTGATGAAGAAATGGATACTAAATTTTCAGATGCCTCATTGTTTACCAAAAATAACAAGAAACGTCACATCAAAGGGAGGGCTGCCAGCATTCATTCCGAGTGTGTTTTTCTTCAGAATAAGAACTTTTTTTTTTTAAGGCCAGCATCCTACAAATACCAGTTGTATGTGTACCATACATATTTCCTGATCTTGTGGGAACAAGTGTTTGGTATTTACAAAGCTTGTCCTGTGTCTGTCTCCCAAATGATGAATACAGCTCACTGACTTGTGTGTGTCCCATCCCTTTTCTGTCCACTTATAGATGTACTCCAACACAGTTGCTTTAAGTGACGAGTTCATCGCACTGCAGCCTTTGTCGAGGGCAAGGAATCAGCTGAGCAAACTTAGGTAGAGTAGGAGTAGAGCCTTGTTAATCCTTGTGCATGCCAAAGGTCAATTAAATCATATTCAAAAGATGGGCAGATGCATCAATAAAGAGTCGAGCATTTTTGTTAGCACAGCTCTGTCTCTAATTTGACCTTAATTAATACATATATTAAAATTTAAAAGTGATATCCATTCTTCAAGAAGAAAATTCGGTGGAAATTGAACATGAGGACAGAGAACTGTACCTTGTTGCATATTTTTACACCTATCTTTTCTAGCATAATTCTAATGCTTCTGCTTGTCATAGTCATATGTAAGAATGCTCCTGCATGTTGGGTAGTTAAAAAGTTATCACAACATTTAAACCTAAGTTGTAATCACTTGGAAGTAAGAATTGCCCATTTTTTTGTCTTTTTTTTTTTTTTTTGTCTTGCCTTAATCTGTGATATAAATCCATGTGCGTGTGTCTTTGTATACTATGGTGGCTGCGTAAGTATCTCATCTTTGCTGTTCTTTACTGCATCTATAAATTGAAATGTATATTTTATAAATCTTATATTTAAGTCTATCTCCACAGCCATGCCAGTTTGGAAGTTTGCAAAAACAACCACTAATCTCAAGAAATGAAAGCTGAAATCCTAGAACTTTTGATACTATAACACATCATATATATATATATATATATATATATATATATATATATATATATATATAAAATTAGTTTTTTGTTTGTTTGTTTTGAAACAGGGTCTCTGGCTGTCCTGGAACTCACTATGTAGACCAGGCTGGCCTCAAACTCACAGAGATCCACCTGTCTCTGCTCTGTGAATGCTGGGATTAAAGGCATATGCCACCAGCCTGGCAATTATGTATATTTTAAATTATTTTTAATTCTCAAAATTTCTAATTTATGTGTATTCAGTTGATCAAATGAATAGCTTTGACATAATACCATTTAACCTTCAGGTGATATAGTATGAATTTATAACTTACAAGGTGTTTTAAAGTTTTACTAACCTTTTTATGTTTTTATTACTGGCTTTAAATTTCTTCAGATGTTTTACTTTGAATGATAACTATAATAATTATGCTATTATAGCAAATGAGTGGTAAATCATTTTTCATATTTACGAGATCTAAATGTGAAAGTTTGATTTTTACATTTGGTTGAGGCAAATATGTATATCCCACTTTTATCAATAGCTGGTTTTCTATAATCAGTGGCTCTCTATCTTATATTTGAGGATCTGCCAGTAGGAGAGTTCATTATATAAAAGAACACTGGCCAGCTCTTGTTAAGGGAAGATAACTTGCATTGTGACTAACCATATTGTTATGAATTCGTAGTTTTACATATTTTGGCTTAAATCAAGCCCCCCTTTTTAAAAAGCAATACTAGACTTAAAAGAATGGGGAAAGAAAATGGTATTATAATATTGTAATAAACTAGTAGCATTACCATTCTTCTGAAAGATTACCATGAAAGCAGCTCTTTGGGTCAGGTGTCACAGAGGAAGGACTGCTACTCCCCTCACAGCTGGCCTGGGTGCTGGTACCACACTCTGTCCTTCTAGTGTGTTGCTCTGTACACATCTCAACATGTTCTCCTTCCTAGAAGTCTAGGTTTGCTACATAATACATGGGTGCTTTTTTACTGTTACCTGAAAATCAGCAACAATGAAAAACAATAAGAAGCCACTGCTCTCAGCCAAAGCCAGACAGAAATAGGGTGACCTTCCCTGGGCTGGAGAGATAGCTCAGTGGTTAAGAGCAGTGACTGTTCTCTCAGAGAACAGCACCCACCTGATATCTCACAACTGTTTATAACTCCAGCTCCAGGGGATCTAACACCCTCTTCTGGCCTCCACAGGCACCAGGCTCAGGCTCATATATGCATGCAGGCAAAACACTCATACACATGAAAAATGAATATTTTTTTTTAAGTTGACATTCCCTGAAGAAATATTTTAACTTAATTTTATTAACCAGTAAATCTTGCCCTCTTTCCGCATTTGCTGTTTATGGGCCATGTGACCCTTCCGCTCTCTAGTCCACTTAAATGTAGAGCAGTGTCCTGAGGTGAGAGTGTATGGGTGAGAAAACAAATGCTAAGGCTTGATGGCACTTAGTTTTACAGAAGAAATATAATTTAACTAAAGAAAACTTAGTTTTTACTAGACTGTGTGCTTCTAAGAGCTTTGCACTCATGGCTTCGTATGGTATGCTTTGCTGTATTCTCCAAGAAGCTCCTTGGCTCTTTCTGTCCTGTGACAGTAACTGTGCTGTTGTGTGAACTTTCGTCTGTGCCTCCCTCACAGATTATAGCCCCACCCTACTGCTTTGATTTTAAACTATATACTGTGAGAGTATTGTTCTAATATAAGACTGACTGCTTTTCTGTCCTTCTAGATGGAAGAAGATAAGGGTTCAGTCGGCTCAGCATATGAATTTGCTGAAAGCCAGCACAGAGGGGAGGACAGTAGGCACCTGCTAGCTGAGGTGCAGCCAGCAGGACAGTGGTTACGTGCACTAGGTAGTACTTTGCTGGGCCTTCTTGGGGACTCCTCCACTGCATTCTCATGCTTGGGGTATGCCATGGAGAATCGGCACCACATTCCATTTCACTGTACTGATTCTTCACTGTTCCTTGTATATTGTTTTGCCTTAGTTCTTTACCTTGTTTGTACCCCATAACTTTTTTATGTTTATCCCTGAATTTCTTATTTATGTTTCTTTGGATTTACAGTGATAAATCACACTTCACTTCAGATTCTATCATAGTAAGGTGTTTTCATAGCCTGTTGTCTTACATTCAAGAAGTTATTCCTTTCCACTTCTTTTGAAAGTATGTCATGCCTTATCATTTTGAAATCATTATCCCCTTTGAAGTTGTAATTGTGTATATTTTTATGTGTATATTTTAATGTGGACACTGAATTACTGAAGTCTTCCTCTCTTTGGAGTTGAATAATCAAATGAGCAAGTGTGCTTAGACTGACTAGTTTTCCACTAACTGGCATTTAACAGACTTGTCTTTTTCATACATTTTCATAGATGTAGCTCTATAAAAACATTAATTGTTGAGGCTACAGATGGCTCAGTGGTTAAGAATACTTGCTGTTCTTGCAGAGGACCTGGGTTTGGTCCCCAACACCCACATGTACATGGTACACATACATAGATGCAGACAAAACACTACATGATATAAGTAAATCTAAACAATATTAATTGTTATAGGAATAGTTTACTCCTCTTTTGAAGAATAAATCTAAGCTACTTCTAGTTATAATTGGGATATGAACAACCTTTTGGTTTGTAGTACTTATAAATCCTACCACCAGTAATTGTATTTTTCCTTACTTGTCATTTTATTGTGATTTCTGTTGAAGAAGGTGCTGTAGTCCCATCTGTAATAAGCAAATAGAGGAACCTGAAGACAGAGCCACTTAGAGTATAAGTCTTTCAGCTTTATTGTAAATCATATCATGGAAGATATGCAATAATTTGAAAAAATAGGAATTATCCTGTGAGACATATTTTAAAGTTAGATTCCTTTAGTGGATTGCCCTCAATGAGGGCAGTTAATTGGATCTCAATAAGTAGTAGTAGTAGTAGTAGTAGTAGTAGTAGTAGTAGTAGTAGTAGTAATTCAGAAGAAATTTAAATGAATTCTGAATTTTCATTTTGATTTGATATGTTTCAAAAGATTATAGTTAGGTGGCTGGAGATGTAGCTCAATTGGTAGAGTACTTGCTTACCCTGCACAAAGCCTTGAGTTCAAGCCCACCACTGCATAAACTGGGCATGGTGGCATATATCTTCAATCTTAACACTCAGGATATGGAGTCAGAAGGGTCAGGGAGGAGTTCAAAGTCATCCTTGACTACATAGCAAGTTTAAGGTCAGCCTGGGGTGCATGAGACCCTGGACTTTATAAGTCAAGTTCCTCCTTTTCACCTAGGACATTAACTTACCCTTTCCATTCTATTGGGGAATTTTAGTGTTTAACAAATACTGATGCTCTTCCTTACCCAAACTATAAATTCCCAGCATATATTGTTAAAGAACCAGTTGAATAAATATATCATTTATATAAAAGGACTCTCCAGTCTCCTTTGAAACTAGGAATAAGTCAGTTGTTAAAATGTTTAGATAATAATCTAATTTTTCATTTATTTTAGTTTTACATGTGTGGTGTGTGTGCATATGTGGAGTATGTTTAGGTGTGTTTAGGCATGTTTGTGTGTGGAGGCCCCAGGCTAATGCTGGAGGTCTGTCTCCACTTTCTCCAGCAGGGTCTCCCTCTTGCTCTCATGCCTTCGCTCTCGCTCTCAGTTTGATCTGCCACTCCCCATTTCAACTGGTTGAGCTAGCCATCTTACTCTAGGAAAAAGAGCCCGGTCTCTACTTTCCCAGTACTGGAGTTACAGACAGGCTGCCAGCTCAGGACTTTCCTGTGGGTTCTGGGGATCCAGTCCAGTCTTCATGCCCACACTGCAAGCTCTTTGCCTGCTGTGCTGTGCTCTCTCCCCAGCTCCCAGTCAATATAGTTTTTAATTATATGCTTATTTTGGTATAGAAGTGAGGCACCATGTGTAGAAAGCTCCCAAGCCAACATGGAGAGATTTCATTTATGTTTGTAAATGTCTTTCAAAGTTTTATCATTTTGGAGTTGCTTGTGTCACTTAGAGGGAAAGAGAACAGAAGGGTGATTGATCAAACTGTAAGCTGGAAACAGGTTCTGGATTCAGAAGGATGGCCAGCCATCCTGAACCATCCCCAACTGCTGTATGAGGAGATAAAGCTCTCGCTTGTTCTAGAGAATTTATGATTCTTAACAAAATTTGAAATTCAGTAATAATTTGTGATCTTTGATTTCACATCAAAAAGAAAACATTTCTCTAAAAGCAAACCTTAAATCTTTTTTTAAATATCCTTTCCATCAGTACCAATACTGTTATGTTTGTGATAAATATGAATTCTTAAAAGTATAATATGTAATGATATATGGAAAATAATCCCTGGTTTTAAAAAAGTTGTTAGGTTTAATAGTTACAGGGTTAGTTTGTCAAATTGCTCTAAAGTTTTCCTTAACTCTGTCTCTACCAGATCAGAAACACTTCATACCCAGTGAAAGTCTTTGGAGGTTAGCATTGAGTCACCTTCTCACTGTGACTCACACTGCTGCTCTGACCTTTCACCCTTTCCTTACCCTGACCTCACTAGATAAGTGCAGAGTTACTCCCTCTGAGAACTGCCACGGTGCCTTCTTTTGACTTTCAGGACTTCTACCATTCAAGGGATGCTCCAAAGCAATAAAAAGAATCCAGAGAGATTCCTGCAGTTGGAGTGAGATAGTAGTATTTAACCTGAACCATGCCCACGGGCATGAACAACACCTTCATTGGCTGGTGTGGAGCATAGAGCAGGGCAATCCCATCAGGAAAGAAGCTGGAGTCCAGTGCTTTGCCTCAGCTGGAGCGTGTGGGAACACAGGAGTCAGCAAAGCCTAAACTGGGAACTGATGAGAACCTGTTGCCTAGGGCAGGATTACCCAGACTCCTTCGTTGTACATTTCTATTACTTCTGTGGTAGTGAATGGGTCCTGGTTCTTGGTACATTGGGTGGGATAAGGGAGCAGTTTCTGACCAACACAAAATGGATCCCATGGAGTATGGTGTGTGTGTGTGTGTGTGTGTGTGTGTGTGTGCGCGCACGCTTTTTTTTTTTTATTGTTTTGGTATATTTTGTCCTACTGGTTTTTTCTTCTTTGTGGGTTCTTTTTGTTTTTTGAGAGAGAGAGGAAAGGAGAGAGAGAACATAAAGTTGGGTGGGTAGGACATGGGGAGGATCTATGAGGAGTCTGAGGAAGAGAAAGAACATAAAATATATTGTATGAAAAAATGAAGTTGATTATAGAATGGTGGGCTCAAGCTCCACCAGTTGAGGCTTATGCACATTCCTAATTCTAAAGTCTGTTTGAAGATTTGTTGGGTTGTTGTTTCCCAAGCTCCCTATTTGGCCAGGAACTCCTCTCTGAACTGTTTATGCAAACGTCTCACAGAACACAGTTAAAGCAATGGTACATTGAATAGGTCCTGACCCACGATGTGTTAATTAAAGAATATGTGAGCTCTGCTCTCTCAGTGCTTAGCAGGGCCCAGCGTTTGGGTGTGACAGGTGCTGGCCAAACAAGAAACCTCTTCCACTCCCACCACTTGGAATGAGCAAGGGCTCCATACATGGATCTTGTAGGACTCCACCATTTGCTTTCAGAATATCAGGTTATTTACATTTCACATGTGTGTCTCAGTCCATTGTGAGTTTCCACGGTGTCTTATGTTACCATGCCTCACATGGCACAGTGATTCCCAACCTTGAGGATGTGAGCTTTACCAAATTTATTTCATTCTTATTCCTGATACAGGACATAAAGAAAAATAAATTCAAATAAGTTTTTTAACTTGCACTCAGAAGGTAGTGGTAGATGGATTTTGTCATTTCAAAGCTAGCCTGGTCTACTCACTGAGTTCCAAGCCAGCCAGGACTACCTAACGAGAGCCTGTCTCAAAAACAGACAAAAAACAAAACAAAAATACTCTTGACTGCCACAACCAAGGTTGGGATTCATTCAGCCACATGGTCAGACCATTTACCCTCATTTTAATAATTAAAGTTGCTAGTTGTATGGGATTGGATTATCTTGCTGAGCTTATTTATGCCTGAATCAATATAAATCTTAGAAATCTGATAAATTCAACTTTAAATCTTAATAGTACTACTAACTTGCCTGACAAATTTTGATCCATGTTCCACCTGCTCACTATTAGAATGATAACTTGATAATGGGCAAAGGTGGCATCTTAGAGTTGTTCAGCACAACTTAAAACCTTAAAAGGTAAATGAGTATGGAGTAGCTGTGTTGAGTATTTGTTCATGGCACATAAGAAACACTACTAAAGTTCTTACTGATTTGTTGATCTTATTCTTACCAGACAATTTACATCCTGCCAGGTTATTTCCCAGTCTTCAAGATAGTTTATATTCCACTGTTCTCAGTTGCTGGACATTTGTTCTTTAATCATAACTGCAGGAACATTGCACCTAAGCAAAACTCCAAGATGAATTAGAGTTGTAGTTGACATAGACCAACTTACCATAGCAAATTATTAAGTGGCAAAATAATAAACCTTTGCAGACTTAAATACCCATCTACCCATCTTTATACAATTATTTAACTAGGCATCTGATTATGATTGTACTTCAAAGAGTTCTGTATATTCCATATTGTAGTAAAACATGTATGTTTGTATCAGTCACTTTCAGTTTCAAAATACTTATTTTGATTTCTTAATGGTTTTGTGAAGTCCACATCTATGAATAACTAACTTATGTTCTTCTGCAGCTTGCTGAAGCACATTCAAGTGTCAAGTGCTTGGACTCCATGTGCTGTTTCCCAGGAGAGACCCCTTGCACATCTGTTGGAAGAATGCTGGAGCGAGTCATAGGAAGGTGTAGTCCCAACCATATCAGCAGGTGTGACATTTCACTGCATAGCCGTTTGTACAGATGAGTGTCCTGTAAAGGGACAGAAAGAGCCTTGCAGCTGCGTACCAGGGAGTCCACTGGTTTTACCCAGTGGAGGAGGGAGCTTGCTGTTGATTAACTCTTTGTAGTTTTGTGACGTCCTTTGACTCAAAGAAAGAGAAGGCATCTTTGAGGAGACTTTTCATCCAATGAACAAACTAGTAGTTTTAGTCTTTCTAAGATTCAGTGAAGAGGAGTGTGTATGTGGAACTCTTTTCTGGAGTACTACTTTAGTCATTATTATTTTATCTATGCTCCTGTTTTCTTCTCTGCTAGGTGTTTGGTTTTTGTTGTTGTTTTTCCTACTGCTTTTTGTCATTATAAAAATAACCTCCACACTCAATGTCAAACACCATTGCTTTCCTTATTCCTTACCTTTGTTTTCTAAAGCTAGTCAGTGATTCAAGGCTACACAGGAAGGCTATTCTGTTTCATGCTCCTTCCTCAGATGTCTGTAGTGAAGTTTTAAAAGGAGTTTTGATTTTTAAGTTTCTTTGATTTGGCATTTATTGTCCAACTGTATGTTAGAACAGGTTTTAACAATGCTTCTAATATTAACTTTGATAAATTATGGATCAGAAGAATCTGGGTTTTTTTTTTCAGCCATTCTGAGGTCGATTTCTTAATTAAATTTATCACAGCTTGTTTTTATGGATCACAGCCCAAAATTTTATTTGGGGGTAAATAGCATTTAAAATTCTTTCTCTGTGTCTGTCTGTCTGTCTGTCTGTCTGTCTGTCTGTCTGTCTGTCTGTCTCTCTCTCTCTCTCTCTCTCTCTCTCTCTCTCTCGTGTTTACCCAAGATGCAGATGATTATTAGGTACTAGAGAGTGGCATCGCCTCTGTGCTTGCTCTCACACCGCTTCCCCAAGTCAAAGCAGCAGCACACTGGGTGTCAGTAAAGGTTGTGATTGACACACCAAGGTGCTAGTTTCCATTCTCCCTGTGTGCCCTGGGAATATTAAATCAGTGGCTTAGGAGAGCCCAAGAATATCCTAAAGAGATAAATGAAGTGGGGAAACATTGTTTTTGCCTTTTGGAAAAACTACTTTTAATATTTGGTTAGCTTTATATTTTGAAAAATAGCAGACATGATATCACTCATATAACATGAAATATAGTCTCTTGTGAACATGTTCTCAACTCACTTTGCATTTGGCTTTGCCATGACTTTGTGAATACACTGCCTATGGCTTCAACCCTCATTTGTCTTGACTTGAATATAACATAGGATCCAAAATATTTCTGTGATGCAATAGTAATTTCATCCTACATGAACGGATTGCTATGAACAGGTAAATGTACTGGAATATTGGTATCTTACATACAGACATTGAAAAATTTATAAGATAGTTTTATAGTGTTCCTAAGGTAATACTTTTACCAAAAGATATTTCAGGAGGGTCTTACATTGTTGTTTTATCTATTGATATTCCTTCTTGCTTGGAATCTAGATGGGGATTAGATTAAGATAATATACTAGAACTTCTACATAGTTTTTACTTTTAATAAGAAGTTGTCTGTAATGGTGGTACACATATTTGCTAGTGATTAAAAAGACTAGAATTAATTTTAAATGAGCCTTTTCCCCATTTTCTGTGTACTCTTGCTGTCTTGCTATCAGTTGTGTTCTGTGTCCCCATTCTTTGTACCACTATTTTTCTAACTGTCCCCCCTGGAAATCTGTCTGCCTGGGAGTTACTGGATTTATTTTAGCATGTCTTCTTAAAGGTGGTTATTACTGCCAGTATTTCTCTTTACTCAGAATTAGACCATATTCATTTTCTAAATTAGTTTTTCATAATAAAATATTCACTTCAGTAGTTAATTCTTTGTTTGGCAGGCACAGTGCCATCAACATCTCAGGTTGTACCGTTGGCTACTGTTGCCATTTTCTCCTCATTGTAGCTAAGCAATCCAAAGAATATGGGCATATTTTCCTGCAGTACAGAGCTGGTTGCTGTTTTTCAAAGGGCTATATGACAATTGCTGTAGCCTATCAGCATTGTGTGAAACTCCTAGCAGTCATAGTTTCTATGTATTTGTATGAAATAGTTTTAGCATTTCTGTTTTGTTATGGAACAGCCACTATTCTACATCTGTGTTTCATGTCCAGTTTGAAGGGATAGGTCAAGGCTGAGCCTTCCAGTGCAAGATGTGGCAACTTAGGGCTGCCTTACCACTAACAGTACTAAGCATATCTGGAGATAAAAACAATTTCCATATGGCACATGGGCCTGCCGGCTAAGTTCTGCCATCCAGACACAAAAACTTGGTGTGTTTTTTAACTGATGTTGTTAAGGTAGCATATTCCATGGCCAGCTCAGTTTCCAAGGGAACATCATGGTGCTGTGTAAAGGACATGCCACATTTATCTAAGCTAAGTAAGCTAAGAAGCTATACTTCAGCAGTGACTGACGTTCTGTGTGTACTTCACTTGCAGTTATAATGAGTTACCTACTTGTCATCACAGGTACTTGGGAGTTTGAGACAGGAGGATCTTATCTTGAGGCCTGAGCCACTTCATGAGCTCTCTCTCATACACACACACAAAGGGGGTAGGGAACTAGCATTATGATTGTCTTGGTTTCATTTCCTGTTGATGTGGTAGACTCTGTGACAAAAGCAGCTTTAGGAAGAAAGTGCTCCTTCTGCCTCCTAGTTAATGGCATAGGCCATCATGGTAGGGAGTCAAGGGAAAAGAAGCTTAAAGTGGCTGGCCATACTGCATCCATAGTCAGCACAGAGAGATGAAGGCCAGGATGACAGAAGGAGGACACTCTTAGTTCATCGGTGTCTCAGGTGTTTAATACTCTGTCAGAGTGAATGCACGTGTGTTTCAAAAAGAGGAAAAACTAAAGATACACTACCTAAAAAATTTGTTCTCTGTAAGCAGTGGTTTGGAAAGAGGAAAAATTAGTGAGAGATTCTTGCAGATTAATATTGGACAGTTGACTCCATCAGAGTGTAGGCAGTTAAAATTAAAACAATACTGTTTCCCGAATACTCACAAGAAATAGTCATATTCTTACTTTCATTCATTTTCTTTATAATTGTTGGCTGCCTACTACCTGCTGGATTGAGTTCTCAGTGATTGAGAGAGCTGTAAACAAGACTGTCCTGAAGTCAAAGTGGAAGGTCGCAGGCTTCTGACAAGCACGAACACAAGGCTGCTGTTAGCATTGACTCTCACTTTGTCGGTGTGTCTGCTTGCTCACGGACCTAAGTTACATACAGAGAGTCATTGGGAAACAAGATGCAGCATACAGATGACTCAGGACTTCTAGCTTTAACCCTGTCTAAGGGAGGTGGAGGCCCTGGCAGGAGCTGCATGCTATGTGTTTAAAGTTACAAGCTTTCTATTTTTATAAAATTCCTTGGTAAGTTTGCTACTGTCGTTGGGCTAAGGGCATGTGTTTTGAGCATGGCAGAACGCTTGTGGAGTTGTTACTTCATCTTCAGCTAATTCAGCTAATTCAAAGTGGCAGCTGCAAGTGAGCTATTATATATTGAACTGCTTAGCTTAAGGCCTTGTCAGTCAGCCAGCAGTTACCTTTCAGACTAGTAAAGAATCTGCAAGTGTCTTTGATACCCTCTGATGTTAACCCTTTCTGACATTCAAGCTAATTAAGCTGAAATCCTTAGAGTAGAATTTATACCCAAAAATGACCAATAATATGAATGCTTCATTCCAAGGCTTTTGGTAGGTAAGAACTATTATTTTTCTGTAATGTCAAAACACAAATTGACTTGGTTTTCAGTAAAACTGAATGTATGGGTTATTGTTTTTTACTCTTTGCCATTTGTGTGTGTGTGTGGTGTATGTGTACATTCTTATGTGTGTGTGTGCGTGTGCACGTACAGGAACTGGAGGCAGGTGTCAGTGCCGTCCTCAGTCGTTCTCCACTGTGTTTGAGACAGGTCTCTCACTGAACGCAGTATTTGCCATTTGGTAGGCTGCTCACCAGTGAGCTTGTGGGACCTGCTTGTCTCTGCCCCACACTGGCATCCCAGGCTCACACAGCCATGCTCAGCTTTTTTTGTAGGTGCTGGGGTTCCAAACTGAAGTTGTTGTGTTTGCATTGCAGGCCCTTTATCAGCTCCCCAGCACCCATCTCTCTAGCACCCGGATGTGTATAATTCTTAGTAGTATATTTACTTTTCACTAGTTACTAAGATTTCAAAAGTGCTGTGTTTACTACCTGTAAAAACAGGGCCAATTTCTATATATGATAATAATTGTAAGCATAATGTTTCTCAAGCATTTGTATAATCTAGAGTAGGGTTCAATGATAATTTGGAGAACTCCTTAGTATTTAGAAATGAATCAGTGATTATTTTAAACTTTAAATTGTATTTTGGTCCTATATTTTAGGTCCTGGTTTTTGGCTTGTTTGTTTTCAACTAACCATGGATTCTGATGAGCCAAACTTTTTTGTTACTCTAAGGTTGTGGAGCGCATCGGATCCTTTCTATACCAATGACAGGAGCATCTTGACTCTCTCCCCAATGGACTCATCTACATGTTAATGGGACAGTAGAACTCTATGGGGACAAATTCACCGGTCCTCAGATTTGGGGTCATCATCCTATAAAAGGCCACAGTGGCTCTGAAGTTACTTTCTGAAGTCTCTGGAGGAGTTGGGAGCTTCTTGGAGTTCCACGGGAAACAGGAGGTTACAAGAACCCTGCTCTATTCTTTTTCATGGGAATGTGAGCATACTAAAATTTGGGAATAGATATACTTCCAATCTCTTTGACTGGTTTGTCCCTTCTGCTCATGGAACTCCTGGTGGCATTGCAGCCTTTGCTGGGGCCACTATACTTTTAATATCAAGGTAGAAGAAAGGGGTAACTCCTGGGTATGTGTATTTTTAGGATTAGTGTGGTTTGGGACTCTTCTATTTAAATCTGCTTCTGTAAATTATGCTAAAGATTTGCCTTGAGAACTCTATTTTTTTTATTAGATTATATTTGAAGCTTTTCGTGGGGAAAGTTAATGTGAATATTAAAGAATTTTGGTCCTTCAGTGACCTGTGTTGTTAATTCATTAGTGCTTTTTAAGTCACAGAGCAAACTTGGAGAGCACGTGTCTAAGCATTATCTTCTGTAGTGTAGGTTGGAAGCTTGTACTGACACCAGACTTCTTTACCAATACAGTAACACAGCCAGTGAAGCTAACCCTACAAGTGCAAGAGGAGCTTTACATCTCATGTCCAAGTCAGAACTAGGGCCATCACTAGACTTCCAGTTGGTGTTTGCTCATAACATCTCATGTCCAAGTCAGAGCTTGGGCCATCACTAGACTTCCAGTTGGTGTTTGCTAATATTTTTGTGGCCAAATATTTAAATCTGTAGTGGGTAAATTAGATACCATTATCACATTAATTTACAGAATCTGTCTTATCTTTTGCATGCTTCAACCTGGCTAATATATTTAAACTGCCCCTCCCATTACCCACTCCCTCTCCAAAGACTCTGTTCATAATTTTATGACAATGTTGTAAAGTTCAATTGTATCAATAAAAAAAACAAGTTTGAACAGTATTTAAAATTGCAGATACATTTAATTAATACAAATTAACATATAAGCCATAAAATCTTTCTATGGCCCACTGTAAACCAGCCTTGAGAATAAAGGATTTTTGTTAAAAATCTTTTTTTTTTTTAGGTTATTGTATGTTATCTAATTTAAAGCAGACTGCCACAATAAAGTGAATTATGCTTACAGTCTCATTGTAAGGTATATTATCAGGTATGATTGTTGAATGAAAATGACACAAAGTTAAAAATGCTAAATTTTTGCCACCAAAAATGAATTTTATCAGCAATAAGTTAATATGCTATGGATGATTAATCAGATACATATTATTCTTAATTCCTTGAATCTCAAGTTTTAATTTCCAGATGATTTGTCACTGAGACTTCAGTGTTACTTATTTTATGTAGGAGTAGTGTTTTAAGATTTGTGAATGATTATGAGAGAACTACCACCTAGCTCTCTAAGCATATGATTCTGTACACACCTAAGGTCATAAAAAACATTGCAGTGAGGCTTTGTCAGTTTCTCTCAGAAGCTGGAAATTGCTCAAAGGTTTGTTCTGCAGCTCCCCGGAGGCTCATTCCTCCTCACATGAGTGGGACTTCTAGCCTGGGCTGCTAAGGCAAGAATTGCAGAGGGAGAATGAAGATTGCCTGTGTGCAGATTAACTGTTTACTTATCTGTTTCACTAATGCAAGGATATTATCCATGTTCTCTGAATATTAATTTTCACAAACAGCCCTTCTTTAATTTAGACATTATAGAATTATATGTCTGTTGACCTGTTATTCTGGAAATGCCTTAAAGGGGTAATACTCTTATTCTCTTATTCATGTTCTAGAGATGAAATATTACATACACATTCAGTAGAATAGTTGATAGATAATAAATGCTTTATCACTTAGAATATCTTAGAGAGCATACATGCAACAAAGTGACATTGAATAGGCATGGTTTACCTGACTTATGGTGTTGATTATTAACAAAGGACTACAAAGTCACCAAGAAAAGGCCAGGCAGGGTTCAGCTGGCCTAGATTTGGCCTAGCATTGATTGATAGTAATTTTGAGCATTCGCCATTTTTATTTAGTTAAGACTTCCCTTTATTTATTTTTATTTTTTTTTTGTTTTGTTTTTTGTTTTTTTTTTCCGAGACAGGGTTTCTCTGTGTAGCTTTGCGCCTTTCCTGGAGCTCACTTGGTAGCCCAGGCTGGCCTCGAACTCACAGCGATCCGCCTGGCTCTGCCTCCCGAGTGCTGGGATTAAAGGCGTGCGCCACCAACGCCCGGCCCCTTTATTATTTTTTAATATTTTTTTAATTTTATGTACATTGGTGTTTTGCCTGTGTATGTCTGTGAGGGTGTTGGAGTTCCTGGAACTGAAGTTACAGAGAGTCATGGGCTGCCATGTGGGTGCTGGGAATTGAACCCAGGTCCTCTAGAAGAGCAGTCAGTGCTCTTAACCTCTGAGCCATCTCTCCAGCCCCCTCCCCCTTTTTTAAGTGGTGCTGAGGATCAAATTCATGTCTTTGTACATGCTAAGGAGGTGCTCAAATGCCAGCATAAATCTACACCTGCAGCCTATATTCTACATAACAATGAATAGGGCTGAGCCATAGCTCAGTGGTAGAATGTTTGACTAACATGTTCGAAGCTCTGGATTCCATCCCAAGAACCAGAGTAAACAAATGAGACATCCACTGATATACTCATTCTGCTTTTTAGCTCAGAACAATTGTTTTTAAAAGGAAAAGTATTTTCTACTTTCAAGAACATGATTTTCTTGCATTTGCATAAGAATGTAATAATGCGGTGGAGGTTTTGTTTTGCTTTTGTTTTTAGTATTCTGGTGCTAATATTCATATCATAAAACTTTACTGCAAAATGCCAGAAGAGGTCCCCCTTGCATATTTCTGTCCAAGTCTTTGGACAGACAGTTCAACACTAATAACCAACTTCTTTTATCTGTCAAGGGAGAGTACAATGCCAAATGTTGCTGTTAGTTTACCAGTGGTCTCAAATCTGTTTGCCTCATCTGAAGGCTGTAGACCTGAAGATCATGAGAAGCACTAAGTTAGTTGGTACAATTGCCAATCAGCACCCTATTCAGCTTTAACAGTACAGGCTCGCTCAGGACAGAGTCAGCTATGGGCCAATGAGAACTGCAACTGTGAATGTTTGCTGTGGGGTAAGGAGATATGCAGAATTTATGGTTTTGTTGCCTCTACTTTTTCTTTGGAATGCAGAAAAGCTCCCAGAGTTGACCCAAACCCCAGCAATCTCCTGAGAAATGTTAACTGAGATAAATTGCCCTATTGAAAACACTGTGGTTCCCTTCATTAGTATTAGGACTGAGACTGTTTCTATTACAGAATATTCAGGAACTGAACTTTTCTGAGATGCTTGAGACTCTTGTTGGACAGGGGTTAAAGCTACTACAAACTTTACAACTAAAAACAGAGTCTTCAAAATAAGTTTGGAGCATGGGGGAAAGGGAGTCTTCTGTTTGTGTTTGCCCCATAGAAATCAGTTGGGAATATAATATAAGCAAGTATAAATTAACCAACCAAAGACATATATGTTGTATTCATTTTGGCCTCCCTTTATAGGCATTTTTATTTCTATCTTTAAATGAATCATTTTCATAAAATTAATGCATTATTAAAGTGCTGTTTGATGCAAAATCACTTGAATGATATTCTACAAAATAAACCATCACTGATGATATATTTGTGGTGGTAGCTGCTAGATTCCTATGAGGAGTGAGTAGCTAGAGACATGCAGCAGTGTTTAGTGTTGGCCTCAGGCACTCTAGCTATCCAGTGTCATCTTTTCAGTTTTCTGCATTATCAATGACCATACTTACTTACTGTACAGCTCTAGTTTAAAGTTTATGAAATTTATCAAATAAAAACTTTGCTATATATGGGTGCTTCTCCATTATTTGAATTCATCCTTTGTCGTCTTTTCATCATAGCCAGCAGTACCAAGCTTGTTTCAGGTTAGTTTCCCAAGTTAATTCTCCATTATTATGTAGGAATATCAAGGCTTTCACTGGCTGTATTGTGGGAGCTTGGGGGTGTTGTTTTTTGACATAGGATCTTACTCTCTATCCCTGACTGGTCTGGAACATATGTAAAACAGGCTGACCTTGAACTCTTCTGTTTATGCCTCCTGAGTAAGAGTGTGCATCACAATGCCCCTCATAAAATAATGCTTATAAAAAAAGAGTAACTATGAGATTCAGGATGTGACTCTTTGAGTAAGGCACTTATTGTTTAAGTGTGAGTATCTGAGTTGAGATCACCAGAATCTGCATTAAAGCCAAGCCTGGTAACTATCTATAATCTAAGTATTCCTGTTGATGACATGAGAGACAAAGACAGCAGAATCCCTAAAAGCTTGGAGGCTAAGCAGCCTGGTATATGTAAGCGCAAATATTAGAGACCCTGTCTCAAGCAAAGTAGCAAATAAGGCAGTTTAGAGAAAACCCATAGCCAACATCAACTTAAATAGAGAGAAATACAAAGCAGTTCCACAAAAATCAGGAGAAAGATAAGGTTATCCACTATCTCCATACCTATTGAATATAGTACTTGAAGTCATAGCTAAAACAATAAGACAACTTCACAAGATCAAGGGGATACAAATGGGAAAGGAAGAAGTCAAAGTATCTTTATTTGTAGATGGTATGACAATATACATAAGTGACCCTAAAAATGCCACTGGGAAATTCCTACAACTGATAAAACACTTTCAGCAAAGTAGCTGGATACAAAATTAACTCACCAAAATTAGTAGCCATGTATACAGATGACAAACGGATTGAGGAAAAAATCAGGGAAACAACACCTTTTACAATAGCTTCAAATAATATAAAATACCTTGGACTAACTAATGAAGCAAATGAAAGGCATAAATACTTCAAGATATTGGAGAAAGAAATTGAAGATATTAGAAGATGGAAATACCTCCCATGTTCATGGATTGGTAGGGTTAACATAGTAAAAGTGACCACTTTTCCAAAAGCCATTCAGTGCAACCCCCATCAAAATTCCAATACAATTCTTCAGGGATCTTGGAAGGACAATTCTCACCTTCATATGGAAACTAACAAATAATTTTCTCAATGCATACCACTTAGCAAAGTTAAGTCAAGATCAGAAAAGCAATTTAAATAGACCAATAACCCCTAAGGAATTAGGAGCAGTCATTCAAAGTCTCCCAACCAAAAGAACCCCAGAGCAAGAAGGTTTTAGCACTAAATTCTACCAGTCTTTCAAAAGAAGTTAATGCCAGTATTCAAATTATTCCACGAAATAGAGAAGGAACATCACCAAATTCATTTTATGAGGCCACTCAAAGATTCAACAAAGAGAATTGCCAACCAATTTCCCTCATGAACAGTTGCAAAAATACTCAATAAAATACTTGTAAACCAAATCCAAAAACACATCAAAAAGATCATCCACCACAATCAAGGCTTCATTCCAGAGATGCAAGGATGGTTCAGCATATAAAAATCTGTCAATGTAATCCACCATATAAACAAAATGAAAGAAAAAAAAAACCACATCATCTCATTAGATGCTAAAAAGCCTTTGACAAAATCCAGCACCCCTTTATGATAAAAGTCTTAGAGAGATTCAGGGATACAAGGACATACCTAATCATAATAAAAGCAATATACAGCAAGCCTATAGCCAACATCAAATTAAATGGAAACTCAAAGCAATTTCACTAAAATCAAGAATAAGGCAAGGCTATCCACTTTCTCCATATCAATTAAATATAACATTTGAAGTCTTAGCTAGAGCAATAAAACAAAGGAGATCAAACAGATACAAATTAGGAAGAAGTCAAAGTATCACTATTAGCAGATGATAAGATAGTATACATAAACAACCAAAAAAAATTCCACCAGGGAACTCCTACAGCTGATAAACACTTTCATCAAAGTGGTTGGATACAAGATAACAACAACAAAAACCAGCCCTCCTATATGA